TTTCCTCCTTGCCCCCTTGCCCATGCTCTTTTCTTCTTCCAGAGCTCCAAGTTTTGCAGGAGCACCAAGCCAAGGCTCCTTCCAGCCTCAGACAGAGCAGGGGGCTTCCCATTGCCTCCTCTGGAGAGAGCAGGTGGAACAGCTTCAGCAATGTTATCGTTCCTCACAGGGAAGCAGCCCTTCTGCCAGAAAAACATGTAGAGTCCTTTAGCAGACTTCTGAGAGGGCTCCTTCCAAGGCTTTTAAGTTTCCTTGGTCAGTCCCTATTAGCCAGAGAAAGGAAGTGTGGAAGATGTTTTGGAGCTCAGATGGGACAGGTCAGCCTGGGGAGGAACACAGGCTTCACCTTAGAAATTGCCAAAACATGCAAAATCCAGCCACCACATGCTCGGGGATCTTGTGTCCAGCAGTGACCAGCTCCAGACCTTTAAACAACAGTTATGGCCAAGTAAACACAGAGTCCTCCTTTCTCATCAAAGACTCAAAGATTTAGTTCTTTGGGGGTTTTGGATGAGGGAGGTGCAGGGGGTTGGGAGGGAGAGGGGTTGATGTTTCTTCCGAAATGCATTTTAGCACGAGCTGTGATCATTGTGGGTAGTTTTATTTTGCCCTGGTTTGAATATTCCTACATTCTTGGCTTCCATCATCCCACAGCAGTGAGCTTGTCCAAAAGAAACATTTCTCTTTCTCCTCTGTGTATCTGCTCTCACTTCTGTGTGTTGTCACTCCTCTGCTATCATGACACCCTCAAAAGAAAAAGCCCCTCATCTCCCTTCTCAAGAGCATCACTAGTTGTCACTTGGCACTTTTGTCCTCTCTCTCCTCCTTACTTAGAGCTGTCCCTTGGAGTCCACAGGAACCAGGGCAGAACCCACCCTGACCACCAGGGGTAACCCACAGTTCTTAGAAGACTTTACCAGGACTCCCTCATGGCTGCAGGCAAGATTTCAAGACAGCCTGAACTTTAAAGCACCTCACCCGAGTGTCCCTAGGATGAGTTGGAAAGCCTTAGAAAGGCTGGAGCACTTGCTCTCTCAATTCCAAATCATCCAAGTTGACTTTTTATTTTTGAGCCCTTCAAAACTTTCCTGGCCTGTCACCACTCTGCAGCAGAGGAAGGATCAGTGTTTTTGCAATATCCTCCCTTGTTTGGGGTGCTTTTGGAAGACTGAGGGAACTTTTGTTCCTTGAGGGTTTTTATCCCTTGCCAGATTTATTCTATTCTTATCCCTTAATAAAACACCCTTTGCAAACCAAACAATGCCAGGTTCTTTTGCTTCTGTTTAGTTTTTGAGATTGACTCTCAATGGACCCTCTGAAGACAAATGAGTTGCTGTTGATTTCAGTGCAGCCGTGGCCAAAGGGGTCAGAGCAGCATTCGTGCCCTTGCCCACACGTTGCTCGTCTGTGTCACAGCCCCCTGTTTAGATGGCCA